AGATGCCGGTTCAACCCTATTTTAAGATATGGGACAAGCTCTGAGGAAGCCCCCAACACAATATCTGGTTGTGTGCCATTGAAGCAAGAACAGAAACCATCCCAGAGTGGAAGACATGGCCCATGTGGTCCTCGTGTTCTGAGAGGCCGTGAGATGGAGTTCCATGTGAGCTCTCTACAGAAAAAGCCCTGTCTCCAGGCAGTCAGTGGAGATTTGTTAAACAAGTTGAAACAAAAGAGGACAAGGAATTGCTGTGGCTTTAGACGTTGCCGGGGCATGTAGAACACTCACTCAGGATTTACTTACTGCATCTGCTGTGAGTTAGGCGCAGGAGGGGTCACAGTCAGAAGGTGACTGCTGAGACATGTGCCCTGCCCACAGTTTAGAAAATTAAGTTTGGGCCGGGCGCGGTAGCTCACGCCTGTAATCCCAGCACTTTGGAAGGTGGAGGCAGGTGGATCACTAGGTCAGGAGTTCAAGACCAGCCTGACCAACATGGTGAAACTCTGTCTCTACTGAAAATACAAAAAGTAGCCAGGCATGGCGCGTGCCTGTAATCCCAGCTACTCAGGAGGCTGAGGCAGGAGAATCGCTTGAAACCAGGAGACAGAGGTTGCAGTGAGCTGATATTGCACCACTGCACTCCAGCCTGGACAACAGAGTGAGACTGTCTCAAAAAGAAGGAGAAGGAGAAGGAGAAGGCGGAGGTGGAGGCGGAGGCGGAGGCGGAGGCGGAAGCAAGAAAATTAAGTTTGAAGCCTGAAATTGACCTCTTGGTGAGAATGGAAATGGAATGAAATTTCATTCCTTTCCAGATGAAGCTTCTGAAGAGGAGACCTGACTGCCTGGCGAGCTTCCAGCTCGCTCATGCACCTCTTTCTAGTCCTGTGGCCATCAGTGAGCTTCTCCAGGTCCCTCTTGCCACTTCTCAGATGTCCCTTTCTGTCCTAGGAGATTTGTAAAACCAGACACTTGGGATATGATTCTCTAGTGGAGAGTTAGGCCTCTAGGTCTCTAAAAATTGCCATTCATGACCTTCGGGCCTAGGGTTTAGAGATGAATGTGCAGTGTGGGTGGCTGCTCTGTGTGTCGTGCCTCCACCAGCTTGGCATTAAGCACCCAGAGCATCGCCTGCTGGGCAAGCCTGGCCGGGGGTGAGCCCCTCCACTGGGGGCTCGGGGCCAAGGCAGATTCCTTGCTTGGCTTTCCCGCTGATGCCTCATGAAGATGCCGATTCGTATTTAAACGTTTGTTCTCAACGGTGGTGTTTGTGTGCTGATTTCTATAGGTAGAGGCTATTGTTTTAGGAGCCAGGTTTGCTGTGCTAGCTCAGACCTCTTACAAAGTGAAGATACTAATGATCATCTTGCAAGGTGCCATAGTGTCATGAGGGTGAACTGAGGCAGTAGCTATGCATGGTGTCTGCAGCAGCGTTTCTGAGGCTCCAAGAATATCAGTTCCTTTTTCAGAAATGGGGTCAGATCCTTGGGATGTAGACAGTGTTCTCTTCACAGATGCTAACAACTTATCAAAGCTATAATATATTGTTTCTGCTGTAATAGGATAGATGCATTCCTAAAAAAACGTATTAAGCAAAAATCACAAAATAAAAATAACAAGACTTTGAGGAAAAACACAGTTGGGGCGAACATTTAAACCTATACCCCAGTAATAATCCTCATAATGAGACTGACAAAATTGAAAAGATATGTTAAATTCCGAATAATAAATATCCCAGTAAACATAGGATTACACACATACGCGCGCGCGCACACACGCACACACGTTCTTCTGCCTGCAAGAAGGTAGTGAATAGGAGGGGTAATGCAGGGCCAAGGCTGCTAAATATGGAGACAAGGACAAAAAAGCACAAAGATTAGGAAGAACTACCTGATGGGGTTCTGAGGCAGCATTTGTCCAACTGAGCCAGGAGGAAGACTGGGGTGAATGGACACGCATACCATATTCCCCCAAGGTTGTGTTTTTGTTTTTGTTTTGTTTTGTTGTTTTTGTTTGTTTTTTGAGATGGGAGTCTCACTCTATTGCCCAGGCTGGAGTGCAGTGGCGCGATCTCAGCTCACTGCAAGCTCTGCCTCCCGGGTTCATGCCATTCTCCTGCCTCAGCCTCCCGAGTAGCTGAGACTACAGGCGCCCGCCACCATGCC